TAAACCCTAAACCCTAAACCCTAAACCCTAAACCCTAACCCTAACCCTAAACCCTAAACCCTAAACCCTAAACCCTAAACCCTAAACCCTAAAACCCTAAACCCTAAACCCTAAACCCTAAACCCCTAAACCCTAAACCCTAAACCCTAAACCCTAAACCCTAAACCCTAAACCCTAAACCCTAAACCCTAAACCCTAAACCCTAAACCCTAAACCCTAAACCCTAAACCCTAAACCCTAAACCCTAACCCAAAACCCTAAAACCTAAACCCTAAACCCTAAACGCTAAACCCTAAACCCTAAACCCTAAACCCTAAACCCTAAACCCTAAACCCTAAACCCTACCCTAAACCCTAAACCCTAAACCCTAAACCCTAAACCCTAAACTCCAACCGATGACGCCTGCAATGGCGTTGGAGGGTTGCGAGCATCATCGGTCCTCGGCGTTCGCGAATGAAGAGCGTCCGCTCCACTTCTTGCACTTGTACGGATCCTTCCGCGTTTTGGGGGTGGAAGCGCTCGTTCCGACCGTTTTTCTTCCGCCGGGTCACGTGGCTGTGCTTGTGTGGGCCTATTACTAAGCCAGTAAGGGCGTGGGAGGGTTGCGAGCATCATCGATCATCGGCGCTCGCGAATGAAAAGCGCCCGCTACATTTCCTGTACACGTGCGAATCCTTTCGCATTTTGGGGCTGAAAGGACTCGTTCTGAGCATTTTTCTTCTACCGGGTCACGTGATTGCGCTTGTCTATATCAATTACCAAGCCACTAGGGGCGTGGGAAGGTTGCGAGCATCATCGGTCATCGGCGCTCGCGAATGAAGAGCGCCTGCTACACTTCCTGCACATGTGCGCATCCTTTCGCGTTTTGGGGGTGGCAGCGCTCGTTCCAAACGTTTTTCTTCCACCGGGTCACGTGGCTGCGCTTGTCTGGGCCTATTACCAAGCCAGCAAGGGTGTGGGACGGTTGCAAACACCATCGGTCATCGGCGCTCGCGAATGAAGAGCGCTCGCTGCATTTCCTGCACATGTGCGGATCTTTCCGCGTTTTGGGGCTGGAAGCGCTCGTTTAGGGTTTAGGGTTTAGGGTTTAGGGTTTAGGGTTTAGGGTTTAGGGTCATGTGGATGCGCTTGTCTGTGCCTATTACCAAGCCTGCAATGGCGTTGAAGGGTTGCGAGCATCATCGGTCATCGGCGTTCGCGAATGAAGAGCGCCCGCTCCACTTCCTGCACTTGTGCGGATCCTTCCGCGTTTTGGGGGTGGAAGCGCTCGTTCCGAGCATTTTTCTTCCGCCGGATCACGTGGCTGTGCTTGTGTGGGCCTATTACTAAGCCAGCAAGGGCGTGGGAGGGTTGCGAGCATCATCGATCATCGGCGCTCGCGAATGAAAAGCGCCCGCTACATTTCCTGCACACGTGCGAATCCTTTCGCGTTTTGGGGCTGAAAGGACTCGTTACGAGCGTTTTTGTTCTGCCGGGTCACGTGACTGCGCTTGTCTGTGTCAATTACCAAGCCAGTAGGGGCGTGGGAAGGTTGCGAGCATCATCGGTCATCGGCGCTCGCGAATGAAGAGCGCCTGCTACACTTCCTGCACATGTGCGCATCCTTTCGCGTTTTGGGGGTGGCAGCGCTCGTTCCAAACGTTTTTCTTCCACCGGGTCACGTTGCTGCGCTTGTCTGGGCCTATTACCAAGCCAGCAAGGGCGTGGGACGGTTGCAAGCACCATCGGTCATCGGCGCTCGCGAATGAAGAGCGCTCGCTGCATTTCCTGCACATGTGCGGATCCTTCCGCGTTTTGGGGCTGGAAGCGCTCGTTCTGAGCGTTTTTCTTCCACCGGGTCATGTGGCTGCGCTTGTTTGTGCCTATTACCAAGCCTGCAATGGCGTTGGAGGGTTGCGAGCATCATCGGTCCTCGGCGTTCGCGAATGAAGAGCGTCCGCTCCACTTCTTGCACTTGTACGGATCCTTCCGCGTTTTGGGGGTGGAAGCGCTCGTTCCGACCGTTTTTCTTCCGCCGGGTCACGTGGCTGTGCTTGTGTGGGCCTATTACTAAGCCAGCAAGGGCATGGGAGGGTTGCGTGCATCATCGATCATCGGCGCTCGCGAATGAAAAACGCCCGCTACATTTCCTGCACACGTGCGAATCCTTTCGCTTGTTGGGGCTGAAAGGACTCATTCCGAGCGTTTTTCTTCTGCCGGGTCACGTGACTGCGCTTGTCTGTGTCAATTACCAAGCCAGTAGGGGCGTGGGAAGGTTGCGAGCATCATCAGTCATCGGCGCTCGCGAATGAAGAGCGCGTGCTACACTTCCTGCACATGTGCGCATCCTTTCACGTTTTGGGGGTGGCAGCGCTCGTTCCAAGCGTTCTTCTTCCACTGGGTCACGTGGCTGCGCTTGTCTGGGCCTATTACCAAGCCAGCAAGGGCGTGGGAGGGTTGCAAGCACCATCGGTCATCGGCGCTCGCGAATGAAAAGCGCTCGCTGCATTTCCTGCACATGTGCGGATCCTTCCGCGTTTTGGGGCTGGAAGCGTTCGTTCCGAGCGTTTTTCTTCCGTCGGGTCACGTGGCTGCGCTTGTCTGGGCCTAATTCGTCAGGTCACGTTTCCTACTCGTGACATTATCTCTGGGTTAGAACGGCGGAATAAGGTTGGACTAGCAAGCATGAGATACATGTACAAACTCCACTACAATCTACCTTAGTATAGCCTATCACAAATATGAACGTAGTTTGACATCCGCCTCAAAATTCCCAACCGCGGCTCTATGCCCGTATGTATTTTTACAATTATTGACCATTACTGCCATTACCATTATGATTACTATTCTGCCGCTATTCAGCAATTCTCTCATACCTTCTCTCATTGTATTGTTTGCTTCAATAGCACAATTCTCGCTCGATCAATCAAATTGCAATCGTAACATATGATCATTATTAACAATTTCCCAGATGGGTTTATAGAATATAAACCGTTACGTTTTGTTCGGTACATCGATTGCACAAATATACTCCGCAATCCAGAACTCCTTAGCAAGACAGCGCCATGCGTGTCCCGTTGTATGGCCTTGATAGGTCTGTAGAGTGCGCTGGACCGAAAACTTGTCCTCCATTGGTTAACCCTGACGCGGCGAAAGGTTGTCCGTGTTTTTATTGGGGGAACTTTCCTTCACACCATCCTTTCATTATTGCTGCATGGCTTTTCACAGCTCGTACTTGCCAGCACTGCACACGGTGTCCAACCCGCCCCCAACTTCTGCCAGCAAGCTCTCACCTAGCCACAATGTGGCGAGCCGCACACCACGTCGAGGACAGCGCGCTTCGACAGCGCATTTGATTTCTCACACCTTGCCCAGCGCAGCATCGAGCGGGTAAGCCCAAATGCAAGGCGTCCACGAATTCAATGCGACACACTACAGTACACTGGTCTGTTCGCCGGCCACTGCCCACCTTGTACCTGCGTCAGTCCCTATTTCGAGGGTTTCAGTCTTTTGTTCCGTCCCGTCCCGGCCTCTCTGATCTAGGCCATGCAAAGGCCGTGCCCGTCAACAACACTTTAGCTTCTGCCCATGGGCCGCGGCTATAGTATTAGCCGCGGCCATGAACTTGCCCGTCAATAAAATTGGTCTCCTTCCAACAATGGCGTTCCGTGCCTGGTTCGATCTGTGGCTTTTCTTCCTCCGCCAGTCGCTTCCATGGGAAGGGGAGGGAATTAGCGCAGGTCTTTCCGACTTTGATTATTCGACCTTCGACAGCAGTGGCACCGCGCCAGTCAGCGGGCTCCGTGTGTTACGATGTAGTGAGTTATTGAACGAGAGTTCAACGTCTGGCTTCAGCTCTGTTAAGCTTCCGCAAGGTTGTAGTCTCACGATAGCCACTGCTTCCGTTTTTCACAGTCCTGAAGCGACCGCCCCAAAGCTGAGAGCAAGTGTTGCTATGTGTGGTCGTCAAATGTCATCAGAATTGGTTGTGGTCACCGAGTAATGCCATGTCACGGCCGACTCAGCATGATTCACCAAGACTCAACAATAGTACCACGTCAACCTCTATGCAGAGTCGATTGTCAGAGAATCTTGCGGCCGCGGCGCTCGCAGCCGTGGAAGAGGAGCATCGGCGACTAGTTGGCGATTTTTTCACTCCCACCTCGACAGTGCCAGCAGCACGCGAGGTTCCAAAGTCTGCTGATGAAGCTATGTTATGTGGCGCTGCATCTAGATTGGGTCCGGAGCTGTGCGACATGGCATTGACGGCGGTTCCTGGAATGAGGTGCAGGGACCAAGGTATTAGTGAGTATGCAATTGGGTCGGGATTCCGAATCCCCGACTTTTCTCGTGTTGTTGACGTGGCTTCGGCTGAGCGCGGATCCTTCAGCGCATCCATGGCACCAAGCTCGTCCGTTCCGTCCAGTCGCCTGCCTACGTTGCATCCGCTGAATCGCCTCGGATTGGATGGGAAATCAGAACCCATGCGTTCCACTACTACCAGTGGTGCTGCTGCAATGCTCGTTTCCAATTGTCCCGAAAATGCTGCCTCCGCAGCTGCGGGGATGTCACGGTGGTCAGCAGCAGGCGCCGCGACATCGACCTGCGCGTCGTCCTTGGACTCACTCTCTCGCTTCATCACCGCCTCCAGCCTTCCCTTTGCTTGCCACAGCCCCTCTCAGCGATCGCTAGGGACCGCGACGGCAATTCGGGCGGGCAGCAGCCACTCAGCGCGCCCTGGCTTTCTGGAACAGACTGGCTTGCCTTCTAGCCCCAGCTGCACTTTCCAGGTGGTTGCTGGCCCAGAGCAGGTGGGGCTTACTAGCGGAGCCGATTTTAGAGCTCATTCCAATAATCGCCGGTCAGGTGCGGGTGTGTCTGTAGCGGGCGCAGGCCCACCTGAGCGAGCATCTGCTGTCATGGGTGCACGTGATTCACAATTGCCAGCAACGGCCAACGTGGTACTAGCGGAGGACAGAGATCAAAGGCTACTAGTACCAGGAGGTACAAGAGTGAATACGATGGCGAATTTGGCCGCGCAAGGAGTGCATGTAACACCGATCGGCAGGGCGGTTCGAGGCGTGGGAGAATGGATGATGTCGGCAGGAGGAGGCAGTGTGATGACGCCGGGCATGACCGCATGCCGCATACTGGTGCCACGAGCGGAGCAGGCGCACGCAACCGGGCTGGCGTCATGCTCGTCGTCGTGGGGACTGCCAAGGGGGCAAGCGTCGGGAAGTGTGGAGCCACCGATGGCTAATTCGGAGAAGGAGGCGGTGCAGCAGCAGCTGTGGATGCAGCAGCTGGGGCTGAGGGAGCAGAAGGAGGAGGGGATGAGCGCACGCGATGGTGGAGCGGACAAGGCCGCGCAGACGGAGGTATGGGCGGCAGCCATGGCGGCAGGCGGTCGCGAGCAGGAAGAAGCGGCGGGAGAGCAGGTTGAGGCGGGGCGTGCGTGGCACAGCGACAAGGAGCTCATGGCGCAGCAGATGATGGCGCTGCAAGCTCTTCTCGCCTCCGGTGACTTCTCCGCACTCGCACAGTTTAGAGGCGAGGGCCTTCCGCAGCACACTGGACAGCAGCAGCAGCAGCAGCAGCAGCAGCAGCAGCAGCAGCAGCAGCAGCAGCAGCAGCAGCAGGCAGGCCAGCAGTGTCCAGACGGAATGAGGCAACAGCAGCCAACTCGGCATGAGGCCCAGGGTGATGGCACGCAAGATGGTCTGTTGGAGGGGTCTGGCGCGCAAGGGTGGGACGAAGAGGGGCCAGTGGGGAGAGGGCTTGTGGCGGCAATTGTTAGGCAGAGCAGCATGCAGGTAGGGGCAGAGACACACGCGGCGCAAGCACAAAGGGCGCTGGAGGAGGCAGCGAAACGGAATGGCGGCGCATGCAGTGAGGTCGGTGTGAGTGTGCGGGTACATGATGAGGTGGGGCCGGGAGAGGGTGGTCCAGGGGACGACGAGAAGGCAGGAGGAGGTGGTATGGCGGAGGCAAGTGCACGGAAATGGAGACACGAGATGAGTATGATAAGTTCAAGCTTGATTGGGCGAGGCATGGGTGTGGGTGGGAAGGAGATGAAGGGTCCACGAAGTATGGGATTAAGGGACGGGGTATTTGGAAGCAGCAAAGTGGGAGGAGAGGGAGGAGCGAGCAGCGGCAGTGATGGGGATGATGTGGACGATGCGTGGGGGCAGGCGGGCACGGAGGATGGAGCGTTTATGGATGGCATGTCAGGAGGGCATGGCATGGTTGCTGCACGCGGCAGCAGTGCGGCAGCAGAGGACACGGAGGTGGCAGGGGCGAACAGCGACGACCTTGCTCTGGAGTGGAGCAGGCGAATGAGGAGGTCAGCATGTCCCTTGGTGTTCATGCATATAAACGCGCAAGAGCCCTTTTACTCGACCGTCTTTGCTCATCCTGCGCATTGCTGAAATTGTTTGTAACCACGACCTTATGGGCTGTGGTTCCATGCGAACAGGATGAAGAGCAACCGCGAGTCGGCCAAGAGGGCACGCATCAAGCGGCAGCGCCGCCTGCAAGAGCTGGAAGTTCTGGTGAGCTCTGGCTACTTGACGTGCACTGACTTCGCTCACTCTCACTCCCTTCATACTTTGGCGTTTCATGCCTTTCCGACTGCTTGTTTCCCCTCATCCTACATGCCCACCGTTGCCTCTGTCACTTGCCTCACCACTCCAAGTCATACCTGTGCTCTCTCACCCTCCCCCCACCAACTTGACAGACTTCGTCGCTGCAGCGGGAGAATGCTGATTTGAGTCAGCAAGTGGTTGCGCTGAGTCAGCAAATGCAGCAGAGCGAGGCACAGAAGGAGGAGCTTGAGAAGGAGGTGGCAGCGCTGCGCGCATGTGCCCTGGCCTTGGGCAGTGGAGGAGCGGCTACACCCACCGCACCCGTCACACACAGCACACAGTCTCCACACACGGCCCCTAACCCCTTCACACTGCCCCCAAGCATGAGTGTGACTGCAGATGCGGCACAGTATAAACCTACTGGAGGAGACCGCGCCCGCCAGACCGAGGAAGCCACCACTGCCATTGGAGGCGCACAGGATACCCGTGCTGAGGTTGGGGAAGGAGAGGTTTTGGGAGTCGCGTCTGTGGATGCTGCAGTGCTGGCTGTATGCATAGATAAGGATTCAGTCACGGACTTCGTGTGATGTAACCTGCTGTTTGCACTAGTGTCACTGCTGGACCTGGTTCACCAATGCTTTAGTACCGTATGTCAAATTATGCAGGGTTGGTGCTACCATACCTTGCATGTTGAGACTTCCAGAAAGTTATACCCATGAATACTGTACAAGAGTTTGTTCGTATTGCCATGGCCTCTGACAAGCCTGCTGTCCTAGGGTACCTACGTATGTTGATGTTTTGACTCAGCCACCAGACAGCACTCAACGTTAGTGCACCTCATGCCTATGCATTGGGCCAGTGACACGGCCTCACATTGGTTTTGTGCTAGTCTGATCTGAACAATCAGAGTTGGTACAAAAACAGGTGTTGAAAATCAGACAAAATACGGTAGCCATTTTATGCCATTTTACATTATAAATTCATAGTTATTCCTGTTTCTTTCCAGAAATTTGCTGAAATCTCAGCCTTTTTACCTTCCAGTCAATCAGTCTTTTTTTGCTGACTTCTGACGCCCTCCACGAGTTAATGCTCAGTGGTACCCATAATATCAATCACTCTTTCACAATGCACACAATCAGCTCCACTAAGTTTCCTCCTGGAGTCAAACCCAACTACACCATGCTGAAAGAGAGGTAACACTAGCTAAATATCACAGGCTTGAGCCTTTGCAGGGATGAGCGCAGATACGCGCAGGGGATGTCATGGCAGCACCACTTGTGCGGTGGAGAGGCATGGAGTGGCCTGTGTTCAGAGGCCAATGTCCTTGACAGCTTGGCAGAACTTGGCCGCTTGTGGGGACAGCAGAGACGAGGGCAGGGATGCGCAAAACTCCTCAGCAGACAGCGCCCGAACCTCAGGTTCAGGCTCGGCAGGAGGTGGTGGCACAACAACCTGCAGTAGGGAAGGAAACGGGGGACGCAGTCAGTGGTGGTTGACAGCTGTGACAGCTCGTACTTGTTACATTGTAACCTTGTGCACCATCATTTCACATGCTCATCCCTGCACTGCTATCTTATGAACCCACCATTCTTTTTACTGGCCCTTGACACAGGGTCTCGTCTCTTTCATGCCTCGCAGCTCATTACTACCATCCCGCCCCACAGCTATTCATCAGCCAAATACAGCACATCACCACCTCTCTACTCACATCTACTTCCCCGTCCCTACCTTGCCGTGTTACACACGTGTGTGCAGCCTATTGTAGCGTGTGCATACCTGGGGAGCGGTGACAGTGGGAGCGGTGGCGACGACAGTGGAGGACATCTGCACGGGCAGGATGAGGGGCAGCACGGCCACGCCTATGCCCGCCACCAGCACGTTGCGCAGGAACGCTGCCTGCTCCGCCACGCTGCCCTCCGCCTCCCCCTCCGCGCGTCCCAGCAGCAGCTCCATGGCCTCGCTCACTGCTGCTGACTGCACCCCCAATGACGCTGCCTGCTCGCCACGGGTGAGGGATACAGTGGGGGTGGGAAGGTGGGGATGGGGAAACGGAGGTGAATGGACGATGGCAGGGGCAAAACACGTGGCGGATGTTTAGAGAATGAGAGGCTGACAAAGAGAAAGAGGCAGGTACAAGAAGAGGGCGAGAGGCGAGGAGGAGAGAGGCGGAGGGCGCACCTGCAGGGGTTGGATGGCGGTGGTGCCGCCAGCGGGGAGGTCGGACTGGAAGGGCAAGCTCATGCTCGCGCTCTGCAGTGGCGGAAGCACCACGTCCTCCGCCGTGCTGCACCAGGGGGCGTGCACCGGGGAAAGAAAGGGGTGAGGGGGGGGGGGGGGGGAGGGAGGGAGAGGAGAAGCGGAGGAAGAGGGGGAATAAGGCTTAAGGGCAGAAATAAGTGATGACGCAGTGGGAAGTGTCTGGGAAGAGGAGATTGGCAAGAGGTGTGAGGACAAGGGGCTTTAGGTGTTCCGCACGTACAGCAGTTTAACGAGCTCCGCCTTGGTGTCTCCGCGGATGCCCCGCGCGCGCGCAATGGTGCGCAGCTCCGACAGCGGCTTGCTCTGCAGCTCCGACGCGCGCACGGATGCGGCGGCCTTCACCTCCGTCACGTTCGCCGCCGTCGCCGTGGCTGCGGCGCTGCGGGCAGCACATTGGGGACAGAGGGGGGACGCGTGACATGGGAATAGCGGCGTTGGCACATGGAGGGGGTGCGAGTGCGCGGACGAACGGACGATGCAAGCAGGGTTCATTCTCGTAGCTGGCGGACGTGTGAATCACATTTTTCCATCCTAAAAAACTCCACGTATCACCGATTGTCTCTTACACGAGGGCGCGGATGAGTTGATCCTTGGGCGCGGCGGCCCCCGAGATGCCCTTTGCGTTCGCCATGGCGCGCAGCGCCGACAGCGGCCGTGTTTGCAGCTGCCGTGCCAGCGCCTGCGCGCTAACGTTCACGGTACCGGGCGCAGCGGCGGCGGGAGAGGCGGCGGGCGAGGAAGAGGCAGAGGTCGCGGTAACGGCAGCAGCGGGAGAGACGGCGGGCGCCGGTGATGCAGCAGCGGGTGCGGTGGCAGAGCTGGGGAGAAGAATCGGGAGGGAGGAGCGTGGTGTGCCGTTAGAGAGATGGAGCACTGGAGTGAAAAGTTAAGGTGCGAGCACAGGGAACCACGTGGAAGCCGAACGACCGTGGACGCTGATATTTAAGGAGGACGGTGATTGCCATTGCGCGAGGGTGACTCACACGAGGGCGGCGACGAGCTCCTCCTTGGTGTTGCCGCGCAGCCCCTTTTGGCGCGCCAGTGCGCGCAGCACCGCCAGCGGCTTCGTCTGCAGCTGCCGCGCCAGGTCCGACGATGAAGGTACGGCCGCCACAGGCGCCGCCGCAGCAGGCGCGGAAGCAACTGCTCCGTTGGAGTAGGCGGGGGCTGACGACGCGGCTGCTGCTGGCGCCACACCAGCAGTTCTGGTTCAAGTCAGAGATCAAGGAGGTGAGGAATGGGGCGGAATTAAGGCAAGAGACTTGACACTCGTCCAAGAGTAAGGAGCAGCAGTGCGGATAGGGTTGGCAGAAATGGGCCAGCCGGATCGGACAGCAAAGAGGGGCGGAGAGGCGGGAGAATAGCGTGGGTTGAGAGGTCGATGCAGTGGAAAGTGGAAGATGGAGCGCGATGAAGGAACTCACAGTAGCGCGGCGACGATCTCCGCCTTGCTGCCGCCGAAGATGCCCTTGCTACGCGCCTGCGCGCGCAGCTGCGCCATGGGCATGGCCTCCAGCTGCTTCTTCAGCTGCGGGTTCACCGTTACTGCCGCCTTCGCCGCCACCGCACCGTTACCCGCGGGCGCTGCGGCGTAGCTGGACCTGTAGTGCGTGAATACGCGGAGAAGGCGAGCAAGGGAGAAAAACAACGGTGGAGGCGTGGACGGATATGGAGGGGTTGTGTGGGTACAGCAGACAACACAATCAGCCAGTGTTGTGTGAGTCTGGGGTGGACGACGTACGTGAGCAGCTTGACGAGCTCCGCCTTGGTATCTCCGCGCATGCCGCGCTCCTTCGCCAATTGTCGCAGCTCGCCTAACGACTTGCTCTCCAGCACTTTGCTGTTCAGCGCCGCGCGCACAGGCGACGCTGCTGGCCGCGCTGATGACGCCGTAGGTGCCACTGCAACGCGCAGGGCGGGGAGCGTGGTGCCCATCTGAAGGGGAACAAACGGGCGCCATTAGGGAAGAACCACAATGGGCACAAGTCGGCAACGGCAACGCCGAAAAGCTTAAAGAAGGTGCGACATGCAAGGGCAGAATGCGTTATCGTGGACACCCACCAGTGTAGCTGCTTGATTGGCCATTGATGAGTCGTAAACAATGCTTCCCAGAAGCCGGAGACACCAAACTAGGTGACTGAAACGGAGCTTTCGTTGGCTGAGTAAGCGAAGCTAGTGTGTTTCAGCTCAAGAGCAATGGTGGAGCTTGAGATAGTGCCACTGCTCACAACAACCTTCCCACGATCAGTCTGCAGCAACGTGAGTAGGTGCTGGTTGGGATGGTCGGGTCGGACGAAGAAAGATGCTTTTGTGGCTTGGTTGGTTGGATTAGAAGTGGCTTGCAAACCGCGGTGAATCAGCGACTCGCCCTGCGATGACGCCACCTGTCCGGTGAAAGAACAAACCGATGAATCTTTGTTTGTGGTGGACCTTGGATCAGGGAGTAGAGTCATTTCAAGGCGTGTTTTGAATGATAGAGTTCAGCGCCTTCGCTTAGTTCCTGATGCATTCTAGTGATCTAAGAGCTTCTTCAGACGATTCAAAACACTACAGTGCCAGACGAAGGCTGGAAACGCCGATTCTAAACATCCCCTGGTAAATGATCCGGCACTGGTCAACCATGGTAGAAGGGAGTATGACATGGCGCAATAGTGATGCCTTACCGCACGTGCCCAAATCCTTTCCCTTGGGAGTTTTGCCACGTAGGTAAGGTCACCTAGTGCCAGAACATGGGAAGGGGAGAGTGGATATGTGCTTTGACATGATGTGATTGGCTGGAATCGGGGAACCACAAACTTCTCCCCAACAAAGACACACTCCCAGCACCACGGATCTCGCTTGCGCGCACAAGTGTGCACCATGATCGACGAGCACAGGAATGGGGGGTTTGCGACGCAATCACTTAGGGCGCGTAACTTATTATCTTTCTGACCTTCCGAACCGTATGCGAAAAAGATAACAAAATTTCGTCAAAACCCGCATGATCTGTAATTCGATAACGAGCTTGAACGGTCTGGACCGTGAGCGGGATACCCTTTTCGCACACGGTCCGGACGGAAAAAGTCACGCGCCCTAAGGTTGGAAGGCTCTGATCGTGTGACGCGCTAAAACACCCTAGAGTTCCAACTCGTATTGTATACTTGGAAACGGAATCAAGAATACAAAGACATCTATTGAAACTACAAATAAGAAGTCCCATAACGAGCGATTCTGTCTACCGTAAGTGGGGAGGAAATTACTGTTTTTCCAAGATGCATTAACTACTCTTTTCTGTGATCCGAACTCTCAAGGTGACCGATATTCTCGACTCTGAAGCTCCATCGTTTCGCCAAACTGTGCTATCTCAATGTGCCTGCCTATATTTAGTTCTTGATATATGGTATTGTTTTTCCACCTTTGGTGTATTGCCAATCCATTTAGTCACCATCCGTTATTCGTTAATTTCACTCACTCTATTTGATAACCCATAATATTTGGAGGAATGTCAGGAATAGAGTTGCAAGTTCTCCAAATTGTATGTAATTATCTCAAGATTGTATATAAATTGGTCTTTTCTAGAAGAAGGATGTTACAAAGGGTCGAGCATTGCGTTTGCAAGCAGCCTGCTTGTTGATGGAGCGTTTCCTGACCTAACGAAGAGGTTCCACTGAGTGACTGTTCGTTCCAGGAAGGTGCCACACTAACCATGGATCCGAATCTTTGGCCGTCGTACGTGCAAGGTGCTCCTCCTCTTTACCCTCCGATGCATCTCGTCGCGCCCTCCGCCCATGCTTGGCCGCCGCCACCCTCAGATCCCTCCTCCGCCGCGGCCCTTCTCCCCCGGCCTGATTACGCCTCCTATTCCGCTCACTCCGCCGTCTCCGCGTCGTCACGCTGTCCGGTCTGCGCCCAGCTGCACGCGCCGTTCTGCTCCGCCGAATCCGCCGCCTCCACTCCCGTGCTGCCAGTTGCGCCCGCAACTAACCTCTGGGATGCGACCACAACTGCCGCTGGCGCGTGGCCGGGCGCAGCAGAGGCTTCTTGGCAGCAGCAGGCGCAGGCGCAGGCGCAGGCGCAGGCGCAAGCGCAAGCGCAAGCGGCGCAACAGTACTGGGCGTCGGGAGATGGCGTGCCCGGGTTTGAGGGCGCGGGCAGTGTGTCTGGACCTGGTCACTGGCATGCGCCTAACTACCATCTCCCTCCCCCCGCCTTTCCTTCCAACTCCCCCCCTCCCTCTCTTCCGCCCCTTCCCCCGTCGCAACCCCCCCCTCCGTCTCATCCTCCCCTCCCCCCATCGCAACCCCCCCCTCCCTCTCATCCTCCCCTCCCCCCATCACAACCCCCTCCCTCTCATCCTCCGCTCCCCCCTTCACAACCCCTCCCTCCCTCTCAACCTCCCCTTCCCCCTCATCCTCCCCCTCCGTCCAACCCCCCGCCTCCCTCAAATCCTCCCCCGCCACTTCCGCCGTCAGCTCCGCTGTACGCGGAAGCGCAGCAGCCGTCCGCCAATGGGTATGCGGCGGAGGCTCAAGGCGGAGGGCCGGCGATGGTTGCGGCGGGTGATGCGGCGCATCAGGCGGCGTGGAGCTCGCAGCAGGCGCCGCCCTTGCCGCCGCACATGCAGCAGCAGGAGGCGCAGGAGGCGATTGAGCCACGGTACTTTCAAGAACAGCATGCCGGTCCGTACGTGCCGTACCCTGAGGCGCATGCGGAGAGCCTTCCGCCGCAGCACGAGAGACAGCCGCTTTACCCTGCAGAGGCGCCGGGTGGCGGGGAGAGGCGGGAGCGCGAACGCTGGGAGGAAGCGCAGCGCCAGCAGCAGCAGCAACACCAGCACCAGCAGTACATGCAGCAGCACCACCACCAGCAGCAGCAGCAGCATCAGCAACAGCAGCAGCAGCATCAGCAACAGCAGCAACAGCGTCAGCAACAGCAGCAGCAGCATCAGCAACAGCAGCAGCAGCATCAGCAACAGCAGCAGCAGCATCAGCAGCAACAGCATCAGCAACAGCAGCAGCAGCAGCAGCAGCAGCAGCAGCAGCAGCAGCAGCAGCAGCAGCAGCATCAGCAACAGCAACAGCAGCAGCAGCAGCAGCAGCATCAGCAGCAGCATCAGCAGCAGCAGCAACAGCAACAGCAGCATCAGCAGCAGCAGCAGCAGCAGCAGCAACAGCGGCAGCAGCAGCAGCGGCGGGGGGATGAGACTAGGGCGCTGGAGAGAGGCAAGGGGCGAGAGTACAGGGGGCACAGGGAGGGACGAGGGCGAGACGGGGAGAGGGAGCGGGATCGGGAGAGGGAACGGGCGCGGCTGTCCCCCCCATCGAGAGGGCAGGGGGGCAGCAGTGCGAGGGGCGCAGCCCCCCCTGCAGCAGCGCCAACCATGTCGCCCGTGGTGGACGCTTCCTGTATCTTCAGGGAACCTGGACGCCTCAGACGGCCGGCAAGATTTGTCATTATCCTCCGTGGCTTGCCAGGTTCGTTCGTTTTATCGTGGATACAGCATGGCATGCTATGCTGCAATCTCCCACATTTATCGCACCCTTCCGTCTTTCACCTTTCCAAACTCCCGTGCGTGTGGTTGTGCTGCGCCTCTGTCTTCGCCTGCCCGCCCCTGTGCCCTTGTGTGTGTGCGGCCTGGCAGGCAGTGGCAAGAGCCACTTGGCGCGCGCGCTGAGGGACGTGGAGGTGACGAACGGGGGGGCGGCGCCCAGGGTGTTTGCCCTGGATGACTACTTCATGCTGCACGATGATGATGACGATGAGGATGAGCACGTACGTATGCCATGCATGGGATGGGGACAAAGGGGGCAAGTGGGGCAAGGGAGGCGCGGAGTAGTGCCACGTGCAAGGAGCAGTGCGTGAGGGTGACTGGCACGTCCTCCGTGTGCGTACTTGTGTCTCCTCGCCGCGTCTGCTCACAGGAGTGCAGTGCAGGCGTATGCGATTTGTATGCTCTACGCTTTGCTCCCAATCGCCGTGTATCCTTGTCCGCATCCTGTCACGTGTCACGTGTCTCCTTGCCTGTCCCTCCCGTGTGCTCTCCCACGTGCAACGTGGCACAGGAGAGGGCAGCAGCGGCGCGCAGGCGGAGGGGAGGAGGCAAGGGCGGAGGGGAAGCTGCCAAGGGAGGGGGTGAGGCGCGGTACAAGTATGATGCGACACAGGAGGAGGTGCGATGGACAGGGGAACCAGTCAGCATGGGTCGTGTGGGATGGGGTATGGCCATGGTGCTTGGGGCATGTGTTTTGGGGGCCATGGCTTATGGGGCATGGGACATGGGGCACAGGGCATGGGGCACAGGGCATGGGGCACAGGGCATGGGGCACAGGGCATGGGGCACAGGGCATGGGGCACAGGGCATGGGGCACAGGGCATGGGGCACAGGGCATGGCATCTGTGCCATCTTCTTTATCTGTTGTTCCCACCCCCCACTGTGTTACACGCGTTGAGTGCTGCTCGCCATTTTCAGCCGCCTCTCACTATCCTACCTACCCTCCCATCCCCTGTACACCACATGTGTGCGTGTATGTGCACATCTGCATGTGTGTGTATGCATATGCACGTCCATGTATGCGGTGTGATTGTGCGCATGTATGTGTTTTTGTGCATGCATGTGGTTTTGTACATGCATGTGTTTTTGTGCATGCATGTGTTTTGTGCATGCATGTGTTATTGCGCTTGCATGTGTGTGAACCACATGCAGCTGTACCGGGCCAGCATGCTGAGAGCGTACCGCAAGGCATTGGAAGAGGGGCGCTTCTCCTTCATCATCGGTGCCCCCTTCACCCTTCTTCTTCCACCCTCCATGCCTACTCTTCCATACCTTTCTTCCCCAACTCCCCACCCCTTTTCCCTTTGCACGATTTGTACTTGGCCCGCCACCATTCTCCTCCCCTCCCTTCCCCCTCTCCTTCTGCTCCCCTCATTTCTCTCAGCCAGTCACTCACCTTTCCTCGTCCAGTCGCCCTCCTGGTCTCACCACGTCATCCCATGGACTTGTGTGGTCCATAAGGCATGCGTTTCCTCCTGCACTCTCCTCACACCCTCGCCTCGTCCCACCTCCCTCTAGGAGCTTGTACCGTGTGTCATGCTTCTCAACGCTCATGCCCATGCGCACCACTGTTCACATTCTCACGTTTGAACTTTCCCCTAGCGCCATGCCCACAGCGTGTCGCCTTGCTCAAGCCAGGCGTTGATGTGCGGTGGACTGTGTTGTGCTTCACATGCCCTCGTGTGCAACAAGCGAGCGGCAGTGATTGAGTATGCATGCATGTGCTGTGACTGCTACATCTTAGTCCCCTTACCAACGCATCTCATGCCACCACAATTTGCCACGTCACACCATGTGCACATAACATCCCATAACATCACGCCACATGGCGCCATACCATGCCACATGATGCCGTCGCCCGGCTATTCAGTGGAGGACCGCAACGTGCGTGTGTCGCAATTCGAGCCCTTTTGGAAAGCTGGCAAGGTAGCTTTTCCCTCCCCCCATGCCATGCTGCGCCATCTAGTCTCCCTCATACCATGCCATGCCATGTCATCTGGTCTGGTCTCCCCCTTACCATGCCATACCATTGCATCTCTGCAGCAATGCCATGTATGGTATGAAACCCTGTCTTGCCCGCACTATCTGCTATTGCCATGCTACTCTATAACATCAAGCCTACCCTCACATGCCTCTCTTCTCACTGCACCCATCTTGTGACTGCACCCTGCATGTGACTGCACCCTGCATGTGACTGCACCCTGCATGTGACTGCGCCCTGCATGTGACTGCACCCTGCATGTGACTGCACCCTGCATGTGACTGCACCCTGCATGTGACTGCGCCCTGCATGTGACTGCGCCCTGCATGTGACTGCACCCTGCATGTGACTGCACCCTGCATGTGACTGCGCCCTGCATGTGACTGCGCCCTGCATGTGACTGCACCCTGCATGTGACTGCACCCTACATGTGACTGCACCCTACATGTGACTGCACCCTGCATCTACACCCTGCATGTGACTGCACCCTGCATGGGTGACGGTACCTTGCATGCGATTGTGCCCTGCTGCTGGCATGCCATGGTTAAGCTGTGGGTGGTGGGAGCCATCAAGCAGGGGTTGCAAGGCAGTGCAAGAGGTCACAGCGCGCCCCACCTGTGCCCTGTGTGCCGTGTGTGCTGTCCCACAGTGTGCGGGCTTTGAGGTGTACGTGGTGCAGCCAGCCGCGTCCACCCACCCCACGGTGCGTGCCATCCGCCTCGCCTTCCTGCACTCTCCCCACCCACCCTGTGCTCCGCATGGCTGCTGTGACGTTCTGCACCTGTCCAACACATTGCATCTCTGTCGCGCCAATTGCATGTCCCCTGATACTTGCACCACTATGTGCGCCAACCCCATGCATGCCTGCAAGATTGCACACAACCAGCGTGCTCTGTGCGTCTCCCCCTGGCAGCTGTGTGCGGGGCGCAACACACACGGCTTCTCACTGCAGCAGGTGCAGGACATGGCAGGGCAGTGGGAGGCGTTGCCACCGCATATGCTACTGCTTGATGTTAAAGTGAGCCTACACTCTTGAACGCACCCCCTGCTTGCCCCACGGCATGTGCGCCTCTGTATGTGCCTTCATGCTGTGTCCCCATGCTTGCGCTCTTGCCTGTGCGCTTAAAGTTTTCATGTTTATAAGAGCCATTGGCCAGTCTTGTTGTGCTTACTAGGCAACACATGTGCCTGGCGTCCGTGCTTCACTGGTTGTGCTGTGTGTGTGTGCATGTGCACGGCAGTCGTTGTTCCATGAAGACACTCTTGACGATGCCTCCATCACAGAGGTAAGCCTTTCCCGTCGCTGCGTATAGCATGACAGCACAGCAGCCCACGTCCCCGTCGCTGTGCTTCTCGCTCTGTCTTCCACCTCTTTGCTGCCCGCTAAAGACCTCCATTCTGCTTATGATCGGCCTCTCTGCACCATGGCATGGCATGGCATGGCATGGCAGGTGGAGATGGATGCGGAGGATGACGAGTTGCACATGGAGCAGGAGGAGGCCGCCACTGCTGCCGCTGAGGAGGAGGAGAAACTCAAGCAGCAGCAGCAGCAGACAGGGCAGGATGGGGCGAAAGGTGCTTCGGGTGGTGCAGGTGGGGAGGGGCAGAGCAGTGCGGAGGGGCGGTGGACAGGCGAAGGGGGTGGCAACGGGGCAGGTGTGAAGAGAAGGCGGGATGCTGGGGCTGCTGATGCTGCTGCTGATGACGATGCTGATGCTGATGGGGATGGGGATAGTGACGAGGGGGACGATGATGATGAGGATGATGATGATGAGGCGGGTGGGGGTGGAGGTGCGTTGGCGGGCCTTCTGGCCGCGTATGGCAGTCAGAAGAAGCACAAGAAACACAAGAAGCAGGGGATTTCACAGGGTGCCACAGCGGGCGGCAGCAAGAATGGGGTGGCAGTGCGCGGCATTCTCAAGGGGTCGAACGGCAGTGGTAAGAAGAAGGCTCTGCGATGGGTGGACAGCCACGACCCCTCCCAGGTATCAATCCGTGCTACCCTGCCCCACCACTCGCGTCATTGCATGTAGGCTGCATTCGTCCCTCTCCACGCGTCCCATCATGGTATCCACTTGATGCCACCCCATGCACACCCTCCCAAGTGTGCGCCTGCACCACGCCATCAGGATGCGTGCTTCACCATGGGTGCTGCCACGCCCCCCACACGTGCCTCGCTCCTCATTGGCCCTGGTGCCGGCTACTCCCTCGTACGCCCCTGCCTGCACCCTTCACCAAGTTTCCGCTACTGTGCACGTGTCTGCTTGTCTCTCAAATGCCACTGCGCTTCCCATGCTTGTTTTCTTGGCCGTCTTTTGCATCTGGTGCCTGTTCATGTGGCTTCCACAGATCTGAACCATAAGCATCTTAACTTCTCTGTACCATCCACATGCCCATCTCCCTAAGAAAATTACCCACTTCCGCCTTCCATCCTACCCACCCAACCATACCCCCTGGTGTGATGGTGCATGGCAGGCAACGAACCCTGTGCAAGCGGAGGAGGTGGAGGCGGTGAGCGGCGGGGCGAGTGGTGCGGGGGGGGGTTTCCAGATAGTGGCGGACCACGCGGCACAGCAGGTGCTGTGGCGGCAGCAGCTGCGTGCAGAAGGAGAGCAGTTCCGTGCCATCATGCGCTCGCGCCGCTCCCAGCGCCATGGTGCTCATGATGATGACTGATGCTCTTCATTCCTCAACCTGTATCTTAACATGAGTGGATGACAGTACCATATAGATGGTAATATTCACAGAATAGCTGGCCATACTGCTCACATGGTCTAATTCAAGCATGAACGCATATCAAGCCGTAAGTGAAACCACATGTATTCATAGTCTGGATTGCAGTGTGGGTTGACTTGCCAGCCCAGCATCCAGAGGTGCCTCCCCTCTGACCGCCATGCTGCCAGCACTGCCATCGCCCTGCTTGCCTGCATCACCACCCTGGTGAGCTTGCGGGTCTGCCTGCCCCCCTGCGCTCCTCACCGGCGCCCTGCTCTGCCGTTGCGGCCCCACCAGGAACTTGGTGTGGCGCCCCACTGCCAGCAGCACACCGTCGCTGCGCCGGTGGAATAGAGCCTGCAGCACCACAGGGGGGGCAATCATTCCATGGTGAGCGGTGGATGGTGGCACAGGCCTGCAGGACGAAAACCCCTGCACGAAAACACAATGGTGGCAGGGCGGCACGATGGCATGGTGGGATGGATGGTGGTATGGTGGCATGGCGTGGTGTGAGTACCTGCAGGAAGGCAAGGGACTTGCCGACGCGCAGCACAGAGGCATCCACATCCACCACCTCCTGATGGTCGGGGGTGGGGAGACACGAGGTAGCGTGGGAGGGGGTATGGGACGCCCGAGCAGATGCAAACACTTGTTTTCGCAAGAGTCTAGAGGGGTTGCAAGTCGCAAGGCCAAATGACACAATACAGCAACGGTGGTGCAGCGCGTGTGTGCAAGCACGGAGGCCTTCCCCGCGACAGGGCAATGGCGGTGTTGGGGCGTGTGCTCACCCCCAGCTTGGCGGCGTCGAGGTACGCCACGCTCAGGTCCGTTGACACGCCCCCTGGCGGCCCCACCGCCGCTATCAGCGCTGCTGACGTCACGACATCTGTGAGCGTGGCAATGGCTCCTCCGTGCAGCGTGTTGTACCGATTCTGGTGGGCCGTGAGAGGGCGACAGCAATCAACAAAAGGTTATTGCTTTGGACAAAGAGAAGAACGTTTCCAGGAGAATCAATGGGCGGAGCGAGACAGGATGAGTACGTGTGTCAGAGAGATAGAGAAGGAGCAAGAGGGAGAGGGGAAGAGAACGTCAGGAAAGTGAGAGAGGGCGAGAGGTAAAAGCGGGGTGGAGAAAGGGGGGGGTCAGTACCACTAGTTCAGGCGTGACAGAGATGGCACACCGGCATCGGCCGTGCGACACGTGGATGTCAACCAGCGACTGCAGGCAGTGCTTCTCCACGCTCTCGCATCCGCGCTCCGTTCCCTCCTCCTCACCGACCGTCGCCTCCCCTCGCGGCACCTCCCCCCCCAAAAGCGCCGCCAGCTCGAGCTGCACCTGCCCCGCGACCGCCGCGCCATGCGACTCTTCCGAAGAGCTTGCGGTGATTGCACTTGAAGAACCCGTGGCGCCATTGACGGATGGTGCGGCGAGCGACGAGACTGTGAGCGCGGCGAGCTGGTGCATGAGAGCGGCGTCCATGGGCGGACAGTAGCTGCGCATCCATAGCTCCGCCAGCGCAACCCAGTCTGCATTCGCCATGTGGAGTTCAGGTAAAATTGTGGTATATCTAATTACCGAATGTTCGTAGTATGGTTCAGGATGTTTTGTAGCTGGGCTGGCTTAGGACGCAAGCAGGCATTGGGATGGCCAAATATATTATGCCAGAAGCACTACCCGTTTATATTCGCAAGTCTCGTCCGTCCCGCACGAGAGTCGCAACCTTAAGGTCCACGACACGACTTGAGGATCGACCCTCGCAAAGGAAAATCGAGAGCCTTGTGAGATCAGGGCTGGGAAGCTGTGCTGGTGTTCTCAGGGACACGAAACAAAAATGCGCTGCCACGTCATCGTCGGTAGGCAACTGCAGGCAGTGATGACGTCATCAAATTTTGACGTTTCCAGGGAGCACTATCGAAGAAACTCTTCACGAGCAATACGTACAATGAGCCCTCGTTTACACAACCTTCTCTTTAATTAAGATAAGATAACAGTATAACTTCGTGAACTATATCCATCCAAAATGAACTCTCTTTCAAGTGTCCTAAATCTCCTCTTCCTCACCAAGTGCCAAGGCTGCAAGCGTCTCAAGGCGCTTGTCAAATTCAGCAGCACTGGCGTCCCTCTCCTCTAACTCGGCTCCCTCCAGCTCCAGCCACTTCTCCCGCAAATCGTCCAGCACGTTCATGCTCTCCACCCCGCCCACTCCATCGCCCCCTGCACCCCCTGCTGCTTGCCCCACGGGCGTGGGCACTTGCTCGCCGTGCAATGAGGGTGCAGTGGTGCGCACAGAGTCATTGCCCGAGGGAGGGGGCAGGCGTGCGAGCATGGCACGGAAGGCAGGGCAGGCGGCGAAGGCGTCAAAGTTGGCGGCCATGACGTCCAGCACGTGCTCCCTCAGCTTCCACACTCCGTACCTGCCACATGCCACGCAGCATGCAGTGTTACATGCAGGGGACACAGCCACAAGGGCCGTACAGGGCTAATTACGGAACACACAAGCATGCCCTGTGCTGCCAGAGATTGAGCTGATGCAATGAGCAGCATTGCAAGAGGAAAGGGCAAGCAAGAGATGGCGGTGAGTGGAGGACAGTGCAGGTAACGCTGAGCGCGACACAGGGAGGGAGGGAGGGGGAAGGAAGCATGGGGAAGCAGCGACATACATGTCAGCAGCGAGCAGCCAATGGCAGAGCGAGGGCATGTCGGCAGAGTGCAGGTGCGGGATGAGGGCGTCTGCCACGGCCCGCTTGAGTGGGAAGAGCAGGAAGCGCGCTGCTGCATCGATCACGTCCATGGCCTGCCACAGCACCGGTGCAGGGGGGTGCAGCACAGGGGATGGCAGGTTGCAGGGAGGACACAGGTCGTTGAGGAGGGTGGGCGCCCAGCAAGACGAGCAGGCACACAGAGGGAAGGTGAAAAAAGGTGTGTGCATTAATGATACACGCAAGAGTAAGTGTTGAGAGTAAGAAGGTGGAAGGGGCAGGTAATGGCGGATGGGATCACCTGGCTGACAGCAATGTGGTGGATGCGATCCGTGTAGCTGGGGGCCACACAGAGTGGGGCAGGTGCGGACGAGGGAAGAAGGGAGCAGCGGGGAAAGGGTGAGAAGGACATCTCAAAAACAGGGTAGCGAGTGGGCATCCACGATCACAGGACCGGGCATGTGGCGAATGCAACAACTCGCAACGCAATTCGTGGTGAGGGAAGAATGGGTGGAGGGATGTCAGCAGTGGAGGAGGTGGGCATGATTGCGGCAGAGAAGGTAAAGGCAGCAAGAAACGGAGAGCAGGGCGGGGAGCGGAGCACGCACATGAACTCGAGGATCTTGTGGAAGGCGTAGGGGGTGAGGTCAGGCAGGTGGAAGCACGGCAGCACAGCCCCGCCATCTCCCAGCAGCACTGCTGCCGTCCCACCCCGCTGTCCCTCTGCTGCGGATGAGGAGTGTGGTGGTGAGTGTGCATGCACTGCCTGGCGCACGAAGAGCACTCTGAAGTAGTCACAGCGCGCCGCCATGACCACGCGGTGGCAGCGGAACACACACCCCGCCACGGAGAAGCAGCAGTCTGCGTGATCCGGCTCAGAGGCACTGCCAAACGCATGCACCCCCACACCTGCCCCGCCATCCGCACCCTCTCCCCTCCACTCCTCGTCCTCTCCCCTCGCCCACTCGCGGCCCTCATCACCGCTCGACTCAACTGTGCCAAACCGCACCTTCCTTCTCGCCTCACCTTCTGCACCATCCCCGCCCACCAGTCCCCCACCACCCACCTCTCCCTCCCCCCCATCCGCACATTCCCCCCCAGGTTCCCCATACCCCTCTGCACCCTCCCCATCATCAGTGTCCATGGCCCTCGTGTCAGACCTCACCATGCACCGCGCTAGCAGCCGCTGCATGCCGCCAGCCAGTCTCTCCTCCTCGGGCAGCGATGCCGCCGTCAGGATAAACCGCCGCTGTGCCTCATCCTCCTCCTCCCCCGCCCTCTCTCGCCCTCGCTCGCTGCGCCCATCCTCTTCCTCTCCCTCGGCCGTCCCCTCCCCCTCGCCCGCCCCACCATCCGCATCCCCCCTCCCCTCTCCGGCACCTGCTGCCACCTCCCCGTTCACAAGCTCTCCCTCGCCCGCTCCCCTGGCCCTCGCCGCCCTGCCTCGCCACCTCAGCCCCAGTGCGCGCCTTGGCGGCACCTTGTGCTGTGCCAGCTTGTCGTGCACGCGCTCCCGATCCACAGCCCGCACCAGCCCCGCCCCGCACTTGGCGGCGCGGCATGCGCGCACCAGGTCGGGCAGCCCCGCCACGGGCACGTCCAGGCGGTCCGAGTACACGAACCCCAGCAGCGCCGCCAGCGCGCCATGTGTCAGCCGCGGGTTGGCGAGAAACACCTCGGACCTGTCGCGCCACTTGGAGGCGAAGGCGCGGTCGAAGTAGTCGGAGCGCGCGGCGAGCACGGGCTTGTGCGCGAGCACGACGCGCCCGTCGATGTGGAACGCGATGTCGGGCGCCAGCGGGTCGCGCGGGTCTAGCAGTGCCACGGGGACGCACGGGGGGCCGGGAGGGGCGCCGGCGGAAGGGGAGAGGGCGTCGGCTTTGGCGGCGGTGGCGTCGAGGAGGTCTTTGAAGGCCTTGGGCAGCGGGTCCAAGGGCGGCGGGCGCATCTCGTAGCGCTTGAGCAGGCGGCGGATGCGGAGCGTGAGCGCGGCGTAGTGGCACCTGTCCCCGTCGAACGTGTGCTCGCTGCAGATCGCACCCGCCTCCAGCAGCACGCGCGCCGCCTCCAGATGGCCTGGGGAAGCGGGGGGGTGTGCGCGGGGCCCACGGGCGGGGGGTGGGAGCGTTGGGGGGCAAAGAGAGACGAGGAAGGGTGAACCAGGAGAAGGGGACGACGGAGTAGTAAACCCGGAAAGACTGTAAAGGCGCCACTTTTCAGATGGACCCATGAAGCGCCAAGCCAGCCACACAATCGAAGACAGCCTTCTCACGTCCCTTGCCCCCCCATCAGTCATAAACCCCCCACTCCTCTCCAACCCTGCTCTCTCCGCCCCTCCCGCGCGCGCACCAGCAAGGCAAGCATAATAGAGCGGCACGGAGTCCCATCGGTCGCGCGCGTTCACGTCCACGCCTTCTTCGTGCACCAGCCACGTCAGCCGATCCACATCCCCGGCGCGCGCCGCCTCGTAGACGGTGCCGGTGGGCACCTTCTTGGTGGGCACGGGAGGCGCGTCGCCCTCGTCCTCGTACCCGTAGTCGTAGTCGTCCTCAGGGTCGATCTCGCGCCCCGCGATCTCCACACGCTCGGGCAAGGATGGAGCATCTCGCGCGCTATTGGGCGTCATTCCCTTGACGAGAGATGCGGGACTTTTAAATTCTGGCAAAAGGCGCGAAGAATTTAGTGAACGGAATTAAGGTGGTTCCGCGCCACTAGAGGTCGCAGAAGTGCGAGGCGAAGCCTCCGCTGGTGGTGTGAGCTGGTCAGAATCTATGGCGTTGATTGCAAATCGACATGGGCGGTGCCGTGCGGTTTGGGCAATTGGAGTGCATTGCAGTGCGGCGCTTGGCTAAAATTTGGCAAAAACTGGTTCCGACGAATTTCTTTAGCATTTTTAGGCGAGGTGAATATTTGTGTATTGATGTAAGTAAGCTGCCACAAAACAGACCTGCCACAAAACGGACCAAAAGCTTCTAAGTTCGTGAGGAGTGTACAGCGGCAACACATTGTAACCTTGCGCAGCGGCGCTTGGCTAAAATTTGGCAAAAACTGGTTCTGACGAATTTCTTTAGCATTTTTAGGCGAGGTGAATATTTGTGTATTGATGTAAGTAAGCTTCCACAAAACAGACCTGCCACAAAACAGACCAAAAGCTTCTAAGTTCTCCATTATCTCACAAAAAAGCAGGAGTGTACAGCGGTAACACATTGTAACCTTGCCTAGGATCGTGAGTTCGTGCGATTATAGGGTGTGCTGGGTGCGAAACGTGTGCGAAGCGAATGGCAACAGCAACCTAATCGCCAATCTCGAGAACCTTGGTAGTGCCGTGCCGCATCGACCTGTCCCTCCCAACGTCTCCTCGAATCTTCACTCCTCACTGGGTTCCGCATTCATGGTTCCCATCTAAAATTAGCTACACGCCTTGCCTATTAGGTGACGTTTATGTTGCATCAGAGCAATGAACGGCGATGAGATAGCTCAACCAGATGGACGTCACGATGTGGCCGCGGCCGAGAGCGCCCTGGAGCATCGCGAGTGTGATGCACGGGAGCAGGGCTTAGGCTGGGAGGAAGCCGAGGAGTGCTGCGTGCCAACAGAGGGATCAGAAGGAGTGGTGCGGGACAGGCGGATGGAGGCTGGCAGTGGCGGCACGACGCCGTCAATCTCCGTGGGTGATGCCGCCGGGTGCTTCATACCACACACTGATGGCGGCGCTTTTGCTGAGAGTGAAGCTTACCAGGATGGTGACGGCGGTGCAACAGAAGCCGGAAAAGCGAATCGGGAGAATGGCGTGGAAGAGGATCTTACAGCGGGAATCGCGGACTCTATCCGTGGCATCGCCTTCTCGCCTCTTCATCCCGTCCCGTCACCTTCCGCGCGTCACGACAGCCCTGACGGCCTCCGCCTCCCCGCTGCCCCATCACGCCCGGGGGAAGACGCGGAAGCATGCGAGTGGGTTGTGCGCGCGGACGACAGCGGGCTCGCGGTGTCGTCCAGCAACGACGAGGTGACGCGCGCTCCCCGCATCTGCCGCTTGCCCTGCCGTCACTTTGCTCTTTTCAGAGACTAGGTTGAAATTTTATCCTCCTTACCCTTCACCCCCTCGCCCTGGATTCTCTTCCCCGCAGATGAGTGCGCGCATGGAGCGCGGGGCGGCGCTGCAGGAGCGGTACATGGACATGGCGATGCTGGCGGACATGGAGGAGGTGCTCGTGCTCGATGGGGGGGACGGCGCCGCGCCTCCCGCGCACGCGGGGCGGGGAAGGGGCAGGACGGCACAGAGGCCGTTCAGGGTGGCGGATGGGCGCACTGGGCACGAAGGGGCGGGGGGGGGAGGAGGGGCAGCAGGGGAGGCGGTGCTGGCGGAGGGGGAGCACGTGGCGCGCGTGGACGTGGTGGGGTCGCGGCTGGTGCAGGGCGAGGTGTCGCTGGGCGACCGCCTGGTGGGCGTGCGCAGCCACGCCGTGTACCGCATGCGCGTGCGCGTGCGCGGGGGGCGCGAGTGGCAGGTGGAGCGGCGGTTCCGCGAGCTGGTGGAGCTGCAGCAGCACATGCGCGCGCTGCTCGACGGCGACGCCATGCTCGCGTTGCCCTACTCGCCCCTCGCGCACTCCCACGCCCTCTCGCCCCCCATCCCGCGCGCACCCCACCCTCACTCCCCAGCGCCGCCGTCCCCTGTGGCCGTGGCGTGGCATGCGGTGCGCGAGGAGGCGGGTCGCTTCCTGGGCGGCGCCAGTGCGTCCGCCGTCCTCCGCCGCTCCCACCTCCTGCAGTCCGCGCTCTCTGCCCTCCTCGCGGCAGGCCCCCCCCTCTCCACTGCGCCGCCCCTCCTCTCCTTCCTCGCGCACCCCATCATGCAGCACACCCCCTGGGCCGCCCTCGCGTCCGCCCCGTCCCCCGATGCTCCCCCAGGCGCATGGGCGCCTCCCCCTCTGCTGGGAGGGGGGCGGGCGGGCACATGGTTGGGCGGAGGGCTGTCCGCGTGGCTGCCCCCCGCACTGCCAGGTGTGCCTTCCACCCCGCCCACACGGAGGCAGGGCAATGGGGACGCGATGCCACTGATGCGCCTGGGAGGGGGGGAGATGGAGGAGGAGAGTGGGGACGGGGGGCGCAGGGATGGGGCGGAGGGCGAGGGGGGAAGCGAGGGCGCGGATTTGGCAGCAGTGGCGGGGCTGACGGGGGACAGAGGGGGGGAGATGGTGAGGCGGGGGGGAGGCGGGGGGCTGATGGTGCGGCTGAGTGTGGAGGTGGTGAAAGATGACGACGCCAGTGTGCAGCGCCAGATGCTGCTGCAGCGCCACTGCTGTGCTGCCTGCAGGAGGTGAGGACGCGGCACATGTTTTGTTTTTTCCAGGATCGAGGGAGATCGAAGCCCGTACACCAATTCTCCCACATCGATCGGCACACCGATGTGCACACACTGCAAATCTGCAGTGTGATTGACACGCCGAGCCATGGGTGCCAGGATCAAAAGTGCAGGGTCGGGCAGGTAGGACTCGCAGAGAAATACTCCAACAACTTCCTCGTTAACCATTCATAGCAAAGCACAGCTGGTCGCTATCCAATCATTTTTTTGCCTGTGACAGTAGACGACCACGACCGATTGCGGCTGTCACCTGTGGCGCGATGTTGTCTTCCGCCAACCCAAACGCACGATCGATGTGTGCACCATGGCACATCGATTGTGCGAGCTGCAGGTGCCACCATTTTGGGTACTCGTTTACTGTACATTTTCGACGTTCTGCGAAAAACGGATACCAGGCATTGGCGAATCCGCCAATACACTGTACAAGCGGCATATCGATCCCCTCCCACGATCGATACTGGCATTTTGAAAACAGGTGCCGCGTCCTGAGGCACCAGGGCTCGCTGCTTCATGCGGGGCTCACTGCATGCACCATGCCTGCACTGCACCTCTCGCCCTCCTTACACCTGCCATCTCCCCTCACCATCCCGTTCCACGTCGTTCCACACGCCTGTGCATTGCACCAACGATCATTCGCCTCTCACTCGCCTTCCTTCCCCACTCCCTGCCTCCCTGCGCCCTCCTCCACCCCTTACCCGGCACGTGTCTCGACCAGGCCACTCCTCCCTGACGCGCATGCTGCGCGCTCCTCTGCGTCCGCCCTGCTCTTTTTCCAGCCGCTGCCAGCGCTGGCCCCCCCAGTGGCGGCGCCGCGGCTGTGCCACTACACGGGGCGCATCTTCTGCGGTGCCTGCCAGGGCAGCGACCGCTGTGCGCTGCCGGGCCTTGTGCTGCGCGCCTGGTGCTTCGACGAGCGCCCCGTGTGCCAGCTCGCCAAGGCGTACCTCGACTCCACTCACGACCAGGTGGGGGATAAGGGCCTTATACCGCAGGAGGGGGTGGAGTGAGATGGCTGGAGAGGAGAGCTGTAGGGCGTGAGAGCTAAGGCGTTTGGGATGGGTGCGAGAATCGCGGTGCATGGCATGGGGCTCATGTTGCTCATGGAGGCAAACTGCCATGTGGATGACACAAGGGGCAGGGGGAAACATTCTCTCTACTCATACTTGTGCCTGCCTCGTGCTTGCTGCAGTCCTGAACAGGCACAGCGAATCCCATCCTAGCATACCCACCCACTGCACTCAATCGGACCCCCCCCTGTCCCCCTCAATCTCCCTCCCCTGCAGCCGTTGCTATGCCTGAGTGCAGTGAACCCGCTGCTGCCACGGCGCGTGCCGCTACTGGCGCACATCCAGCGCCTGAGGGCGCACCTGGCCGTGCTGCACGCTGCCATGGGCGCCGCGTGCCCGCTGCGCCGCCACCTGCTGTCGCGCCTGGGGCGCAGGGCGTACCTGGTGCAGCGCGAGACAGAGGGCTTCTTTGCCATGCGCGACCTCGTGGACGCCTCCAAAGGCAGATTCGCTGGTGAGGCACGCATGGGAAAGCGGGCAGGACACTGGTGCTGTGATGTCTGCGTGGCTGATGCGCATTCCTTTTCTGATCTATCCAGTCAGTGCATGCCACGCTGCTGCTAGTCGTTGCACTGTCACCCATCTATCTGCCTGTGCTCATTCCCCGTGCCAACCTCCTTTTCAACCCCCTTCCCCCGCTCCCTTTCCCCTCTTTGTGTGGCAGTGCTGCCGGACATGCTGGCGCGCCTCGCATCATCTCTGCGGCGCCACATGGCATCGGGGTGCATAGAGTGCGCTGCAGCCGCCACCACGCACTGCACCGCGCAAACCACCTGCTGCAGTCCCTTCGGGCCTCTCATCTTCCCCTACGAGGTCCGTCCTCTCACCCTCAACCCGAAACCAGCCCCCCTGCTTCATCTCACCTCGTTCTTGAACTGGCCCCAATCCTCCCACTCGCCCTCTTGGCTACAAGATAGCCTCTCTCCCCTGTTTCACACCCCCTGCCCACCAGGTGCCATCCACGTCCCGCTGCCAGCACTGCTCTGCCGCCTACCACTCCTGCTGCCTGCGCCGCACGCGCCTCTGCCTGCTCTGTGCCAAGCCCATCCAGCCCTCTGAGACACCACGCACCGCTGCCTCCGCTCCCCTGGTTGCGCCCTCGCCGCCCACTGCTAGCACTGTGGTGGGATCAGGTGCAGTGGGCAGCAGCAGCCACGAGCATGAGGAAGCAAGTGGCAAGGAGAAACGGGAAGG